GGTATCTATCTACCAGTAGCTGCCTCATTTCCCACCCTCGGCTTATATTCGGGTCAATACTTTTTCCCAGTTTTTTTTGCTAAAATTAGGTACCTCGGCTTATATTCGGGACGGCTTATACTCGAGTATATACGGTATACAAGTAACATATAGCACAAAAAGCAAGTAGCCATGTGAAATCCCCCCATAAAATTATGTTTGGGTAAATCATATCATAATAACTAAATCTGTGTACTGAAGTTGTTTTTAACCGGGTTTTAAAAGATCATTCAGAAACTTACTGCTGAACACAGACAACACAAGTTCTGGCCTACAATGGATGTACAGGACTGGCATTTCACAAGGTTGAGTGATGAGACAGAAAAAGATAAAAACTGTGTTATAATCCTTCTTCTCTCTGCATTACTGCTTGTTATCCTTTTGAGAATCAATTAATGCTGGAACAGCATGACAATAAAAGTTGCCGAAGTTAAGCAATGGTTCCAGCTGATTATTAAATTAGCCCTGAGAGACATTCTGAAGATAACATATTGGCAGAACAAGCTGCTGGGCATTCTGTACTAGTCTGCTGGTGGAGTAAATTCATTAATCAGTGATATCACGCTGTGGACCTCCAGCACAGAGAGACATGTTCTCAAAGTATGGGACGCACCAAAAGAAATGTCATGTGACCTTCCATTCTCCACGCCAGTCTTTGGGTAATAATATGCTAAATTAAACATTTCATGAAATCGCTCATACAGTTTAAACACTTTTCGAATCTTTGGAAGAAGCCACGGGATATCAATACTCAATGCAGAAATAAAGAAAGCACATGTTCATGGAGAATATGAAACCTGTACAAAATCTCCACATATCTTTATTTAAAGAGAATGGGGCAAATTTCTCAAAACTGAAGCACACAAAATATGGAGCAGATGTGCATGGCAACCAATCAGCTTCTCTCTTCAGTTTATTCAGTTATGATTTTAAAATGAAAGAGGCGAAGCTGATTGGCTGCCATGCACAGCTGCTCCAGATTTTGTCTGCTCCAGTTTTGATAAATTCTCCCCATTATATGTGTGTGACTTCATTATTTTTGCAGTCAGAGCTGTTTTACCTGCTGAAACATTTACATTTCTGTCCCTCCAGGCTTCAGATTTACATAGCCCTACCAGGACAGTACAGCAAGGTGACCTGATATTTTTTGTACTGCAGATAAGAAATAAAGTCTGGTCACTTGCTTGATAACAGAGTGTGATTAGACAATGAAAGAACAGCAGGATACTGATGTGCTCTCTCCATCTGTCAGTATGTTTACATGCAGCAATGCTGATTGCCTCTTAGTTATTCTACAGAGGATTACAAGAGGCTGCTACCAAGTCAAATTCTGGTACTTAAACTTGCTGCAATATATATATATATATATTTAT